ACAGATATTATCTACTATTATATTACTATTTTATTAATTAAATTTATAAGAAATTTATTGATTATTAATTTCAATTAAATTAACTGTTAATGTATTAATATTTCATTTGTTTCTTTATAGGAGTCTCAACAATATCTATGGCTTTCAATGGCATCTAATAATATCTTATTCTATGAATTATTACTATAATTACAAAGCAAACTATAATTACTTTTATTATTTTAATTATTATTGATTAATATTTGTATAATTTTAATGAATGAATGACTCTCTCATGTATTAAACAATTAAATATCGTTTACAGTATTTGTAAAAAAGTCATAAAAATCCATATAAAACAACAACAAAAATTCAATAAAAAGCTGATATAATTATTACAAACACTTTATTAAAGTATTATTGTATTAAAATATTCTGAGGGTTTAAATAAAAAATTTATTACCATTTTGAGTTACCATTCATTCAGAAAATCTCTCTCTCTCTCTCTCTCTCTCTTTCTTTCTCTTTCTCTTTCTCTCTCGTTTTCTGGTCAATATAAATGCAATAAAATATTTTATTCAATAAATACTCGTAAACCCTATTTCCTTATGCATTTTCATTGACATGTATTAACTCAAACATCAAATTAAATGCAATAATTTATAATATGAATTGCGTTACACTTTATGTGATATATCCTAATATATCAAGAATCTCAGAGGCAATGGCGGGGCAATCGGTGCCACAAAAAAGTTTTATAACATCTATAATGTAATGTAAAAAACGGAGCGTTTGGTATGTGTTGAGCCCATCCCTATACACACAAGTAATACACCTGTATATGAATACAACAGAGAATACAAACACTACATATAAAGTTAATATTATATAAAATACTATCAATTTTTATTTAAACTCAAATTTGCTGTCATTTAGACTCTATGGGGCTCTCTCCCATTCTCTCTCTCTCTCTCTCCTCTCTCTCCCCTTATGTCAAATAGCAAACATATCTCTCGATAAACCGATATCACGTGACACACTGTACTGCCAAAGCATCGTAAACAGCGCTCCAACAGTACAGCCAATACAGAGTAATACTAATAAACTGTTTGTCACTGTATTTCTCTCTCTCTCTCTCTCTCTCTCACTCACTCACTCACTCACTATTAAATTGAGTGTAGGATTGCTTTGATCAATAGTTTAGTCGCATAGAAACCACTCATAAAGTATATATAAAGATATATAATAATATACACGGTGTGTACGGAATAGGCATCTCTTTTTGACTGTACTATTATTCTTATAGGTTAGCAGTACTCGTGAATTAGTTTTGTGTTAATATTCCGGTGCCCTTAAACAATGTACACTATATAAAAACTTATTGGTCAACATTATACGATATTTATACTGTGCATTATATGTGCATTTGTATACATCGTACAGAATATGTTGCTATATACGTGGTTAATATGCTAATATGTATTGTATGTATGCCTACATTCATGTCAAGGCTTCATAAAATATTCTGTTAACAAAAATACTATAATAATATGTTATGTAAAAACTATAATAACAGACAAAAAAGTTCGCATTGTTTATATACAAAAGTCTCTATACTATCGACAACAAAGAATTAACAGAATATTCTTGTCGATCGTTAAAGAATAGCAGCGAAATTCTTGAAAACTATTTCTGGTTACATAATCTGTCATTCAATTTCATATATCAATGCATTTGAATGAATATTTAATGANATCGACAACAAAGAATTAACAGAATATTCTTGTCGATCGTTAAAGAATAGCAGCGAAATTCTTGAAAACTATTTCTGGTTACATAATCTGTCATTCAATTTCATATATCAATGCATTTGAATGAATATTTAATGACAGGAATAAAAATATAAAACTCGAGAATAAAATCAGAAATTTATGTTTTGGTTCATTATATGCTTTATGTTATAGTTATATATAGTGTGACATCAAATGCGAGCGCAAAAAAGCAGAATATTCTGTGTCTGACTCTCGTATAGAGTAAGTGTGTGTTTGGCGTGTGTTATGTGTGTGTTGTCTGTGTTTTTCGTGTCAATTCTGTGTGCATATATTTAACGATCAGTAAACCATTAATGTAACTATTGATAAATTGGTTGTACACGTATAAACACACACACACTGATACAATTGTCCCTGGTCCTGTTGTAAACACAAATTTACATCATGTATGTCTAAAAAAGTGATAGTGAATAACAATGTGTGTTAAGAAAGATAATTAACTAACATTTTTGCTATCAGTGTTTAAACTATGTATTAATTTAACATCAAATAAAGTGTGACACCAAACGAAATAATATCCAACAATTTGTCACCACATTGTTATGATAGGGACAGTCGGTCGCTACAGCCGTGCACACCATTTCTAACAAGAAATAATTAATGTAATTTTAATAACGCTATATACATAGTGCTAACCATACCCTGTGGGTGTGTCCCGTAAATTACACCACACATAAAGCCAGGGCTCGGGAGGGCCCGGAGCTGTACATCAATTATGCGAAATCTTCCCCAATCGGTGGCTAATAAACAGTTTAGTGGCAACACATCGCCACAGGACGGGGACAACACGTCACTGGACCGGCCCTACTGTCAAGAGTATCGGGCGAGTAGTCCCCCGCGTCGGACCATGCGTTTCAATCGGGTCCGGGCGCTGCTCACCGTTGTCTCCCTGGCCTTCCTCTCACTATTCCTGTTTATAGTGTACCTACAGTTCGGTCTAATCGTATTCATTATCACTGTTTCGCTCATGATTTTAGTTACGATAGCCTTTGTGTTGTATATAAGACATTATATGCAGGATTTGAATGGCGATCCTAATGGCAGTGATTGTCAAACGCAAACCACTATTGATCATCGCTTTTGAGTTGTTAGTTTTATTTATACATTGAATGGACCCTGGTTCATTTTAAATGGTATATAATTTATACTTATATAACATATCTACCTTGATATAATCCGAATTCATTATATTATGTATGATAAGTGTCAATAAGTATGTATACATATAATTATATTTATATTTAATTTTAAATTATTTTATGGTAACTTTCAATTGTGTTTCTTAACATATAATATAATGAATTGTTGTTTTTGAATGATATTTATTATTATAAATATGTTATTTGTAATTAATATTCACAACCAATATAATAAACAGAATTATATATACACTAACAATATCATAATATTTTCAATACATGTACCTTGATAATGTTAAATACACTTTTAATTTAATCTGTATTAAAATATGGATTAAGTATTTTTGATTATTACATTTGATTGGATTTACGAACAAATAAATAATACATATAATAAATAAATTATAATTTATAATAATACATATAAATAAACATAATAAAATGTATATTCAAGCAATAATGTAATTATTAAAATCATTCATTTATTAAATAAAATAAAATTCATAAATTAAATATTAATCAGTCGTAAGTTTTAATTAATTTATAAATATATCTAAATATATAATAAATAAACCAAATGCTTCATTGAATCAATCGTAATGATATATTGCTAAACATATAATTATGATTGAATTAAATCAATAATTCAATAGTTAAATATTGTTATCAATCAAAAAATGCAAATATAATATATATTTCACTATAAATTGACGTCAAATATAAACATGAATTTAAATTTCTTGCCATAGATTTCAATGATAATCAAGAATTTTCAATATAAATATAGATGTAATTTCAGGTGTATTTTTAACTTTATATTTATTTTTTATATGAATAATATTATTTAAAAATTTTATATAATTTCACTGCATTTACATTCATAGCGTATAAAATAAATTTAAATTATAAAACATATTTCATTAGAAAAAGTAAAATAAAATAAAAATTTTAAAATAAATATAATTATAAATTTATAGGGAAAAATAAACTGCATTTTCAATGCTTCATATCTCGCACACAATCAAAATGCACTGAAAAACGCTAACTTTATTTGATATTTTTACTTATTGAGCATTTTTTGTGTGTGAAAAAAAGTTATATTTGATTTGCACATAAAATATAACATATATGGAGAGAGAGAGAGAGAGAGAGAGAGAGAGAATGACCGAGATAGTTTAGTAACAATAATACTCTAACGATGATATAAATGAATAGTTAATTTGTTTATGCATTGAATGACAGACAACAAAAAAGTTAAATAAACTTCATATCATTGAACAGTAGTTAATATTCATCACAACTTAAGTATTTATTATTAATATAAATACAATCCGTATCTCAATTTGATTGTGCGGTGGTGTGAGGTTGGAAGTGGTGGTGGGGGTGGGGGTGTGGTAGGGGTTTCCATATCATGGTAACAATAATATAGACATGTACAGTATACAGTATTATAAAAGTAAAAATATAAAACAATAAAGGGCAAAAATCAAGGGTGAGCATGGTCGGGTGCCCGTAATGAACACAGGGTTAAAGTTTAATCGCCTAAATAGAAACTCCTTGGTTATCGTAACCAAACTTATCACTCGCAAAGGACATAGGCTATAAAAGTTAGATATGGTAAACAAAGAGAGGGCAAAACAAGTTTGTAAATTCAAAACATTAAACATTTAACCAGCACCAATAGCTCGAACCGGTTCCAACCACCCAGGTGAGTTAGATAAGCCCCCTTCAAAACCCCCATCATTGCAACTTTAATCGCATTTAAAAAGGGGGCAAACTTTATGGGGAGAGCGTCAACACAAAAGTCAATAACACACGTTATTTATGGCACTCAATGAAAATGCATTGGCAAACATATCTCTCGATAAACCGATATCACGTGACACACTGTACTGCCAAAGCATCGTAAACAGCGCTCCAACAGTACAGCCAATACAGAGTAATACTAATAAACTGTTTGTCACTGTATTTCTCTGTACACAAATAATTGGTGCAAATCATAAACAAAACACTCGTATATATCGTTATAATAATCGATACATTATTTATAATGATTTGTGTTTTTGAATTCATTGAATTCATTGTTTAGTTTTAATTAACAGTCAATATATTTACCATTAGTTTCATAATAACAGTCATCACGTGATCAGTGCCGCCGCCGAAGACACCGACCAATCGCTAGTGTCTGTAGTGATCGCCGCCACCACTACTCACGCCTCCCCCCTCTTCACCGCCCACTCACTCACGAGTGCCGACTGTTATCACCGCAACTGGTCATCCGATACGATAGCCGTGTCTTTCACGGGTGAGACACACCATCACCGCAGACACAGATCACATACGAGAGAGAGAGAGAGAGAGAGAGAGAGGGATGTCATCGATGGACACGACAACAACAGCTGGCGATGGCCGCAGAGGTGGCAGCGGTTCCGCCTCCGCCGCCAACACTACCGGTCCGTCCGGACAGCCGTCGGCGGCGTCAGTGGCCGGGAGTCCATCGTTGGGCGCGTCGATCATAAACTTCCAAATGCCGCACACATTGCCTCAAATGATACCTTCGCTGCCGTTTCCCAATTATCTGCCAACAATGCCGTCGCTGCAGGACTACGTCCAACAGTTGGCCACTTTGCCGGCCGGCGTGTCGATGCCGTCGATGCCCAACCTGTCGATGCCCTCAATGCCGTCGATGCCATCCATACCCGGCCTAACGATGCCGTCGATGCCATCGATGCCCAACATATCGATGCCGTCGATGCCAACAATGCCCTCCTTTGCCGATATCATGAGCAGTAAGTATTGTAAGCTTCGCCCACCGGTTCTCGTCGACAGACAGGTTCTTCGGATTGCCATTAGATCCCATACTTTTGTGTTGTTTTGTTATTTTCAATGTCTAAATAGTTTTCTGTCATTAAATGTTTTGTTTGTTTTGTAATTTGATTACAAAAAACTTACAAAACATATGTTTATTTAATGATTATTTTTTAATTTTTTAATTAATTTACAATTCAATGCCATTTCAAAACATAAATGACATGTTTTTTAAATGTCTTTGCATTTATCACAACCAGATTTCCCGACCCGTCGCCCAATCAAGCCGTGGCCTCAGTTGCGCAACGCTGTGAAGACATCCCATCGGCGGTTCTCGGAGATTGGCTGCAAAGTGCCGTTTATGTTCAATTGGCGCGAAGACGCGGCCAACAATCGGCTCCGGATCTACTTCTTGTCGTCGATCAACAATTCGGCCGAAATTACGCTCATTTACTGTGACTTCGACACAGCGGCGGCGCCGCCAACAGCGCCACCGGTTCCGCCCCATCAACACAATCCGCCCTCAATAGTGGCCAACTCTCGCACCCACTCATCGCACTCTTCATCATCGGCGGTCTCGCCGTCGGCGCCGAATCGCTCGCTGGCGCCTAATAGGATCACTTCGCCCATCGATATACACAAACCGATTGACTGTTCCCTAAACGCCAGCAACGAAGTGGTGATGAATGATCACAAGGCGTCGACGCCGACGGCCAACGACTCGTCAATGGCCGACGAAGACGACGACGGATTGGATGAAGAGTTTATGCCGATGAGTGGCGGCCGCCGGGACGGCGACAAAGACATGCTGTTCAACACAGACCTGAACCGCAAACCCGAGGACACATTCCGATTGCATTGGAAGCCACTGATCATCACGAGTAAGCCGTCCACCGGTTTTGGTGACAATAGCGGCGGCGCCGACGGCGGCGGCCATCAGAAGACAAACTCACGCGAAGAGAACCTACAGCTGGAGAGGAAGCGGATTATGTTTACGGGCATCACGTCATACGAGTACCAGCAGAAGAGTTCTCGTTTTGTGTTCACCGCCGGCGAAACTCTGTACTGGTTTGACGACCCTCTGGATCAGCCCACGGGTGATGGCGCGTATCCGCCGCCCCGAACGCCGCCCTATTTGCCAAATAAGTTGGACTCGACGACCAGTTTTGCGAAAATGAATCCACAGTTGTGTCCGTCGGACCCGAATCTGGTGGCATACGTGGCTGACGGCGACCTCTGGGTCTGCAATCTGAAGAGCGGTCTCGAGTTTCGCTTAACTGAGACCAAGTTTGACACCGACTCCGGCGTAATGTCCGCCGGACTGCCTTCTTATGTCATACAAGAGGAGTTCCGCCGATACACCGGCTTCTGGTGGCGACCGGACAACGAGTACGACCACATCGACAGCACGTCCGGCGACGTGAGCTATAGTATACTCTGCGAGTTCGTCGACGAGAGCGAAGTGGACCTCATGAAGATCGCCAGTTGGGACGGCACTGTCGAAGAGTATCGGTTCCCACGACCGGGTATTTACATACATCATCTCTAATTTAATGTATTTTTGTGTCTAATTTGTGTAACCATTTGTCTCGTGAATCTCAGGCCAACCGAACGCCGAGTCGTCGCTATCTATCGTAACGTTTTCGTTGAATCCGATGACACAACTGATTAGCGACGTTAAGATCTCTTCGCTGCCGAAGTCACTGCCGGACGCGTTCCCGGCGTACGAGTATTTGGTCCGTTGCGGTTGGCATTCGTTCGACGCCCTATGGATACAGCTCTTAGACCGAAGTCAATCGCATCTAGTCTTAGTGATGATGTCGGCGCAGGACCTGTTCCCGCCCCAAGTGGTCTACGAAGAGCGCACCAATCAGTGGATCAACTGTCACGATGTGCTTCACTTCTACGGCGCCGACAGCGCCGCCACCGTTGGCGAAGAGTTGACCGCCGGTTCGGTACTCAAGTTTCTCTGGTCGTCAGAAGAGACCGGTTTTCGCCATTTGTATCAAATCGAAGTGCAATTAGTGGCCAACGGATCCAATGATGACAGTATGATGAATGACGATCAGCTGTCCGATGATAGCACAGTCGCCGCTGCGGTGGCGCCTACTTGTGAGCCAACTCTCGCTACCAATGAGGACACGAACGGCGCAAAATTGCCCAAATTGGACGAGCGCTCAGGTATTGTGTGTTTTAATGTTTTTAATGTTATTTCACTATTAATTTAAGTGTTTCTAATTTTGTTGTATTTTTTGTTTTGTTTTTGTGTAGATTTCAGTACAAATGATTCACAACGAGTTAAATCAGGTAGTTTTTTGTATGCAATTTAATCGCATGATTTGTATTACTCGTGAGTATTGCCGAGACGCCAATAGTGTACACATATTTGTTATAGTAATGTAATTTTTTTTGTTTGATTTGAAAACGTGATAAATTTAGATTTAAATGTATTTTAGTGTTGCGTTGTGTTTAAAAAGTGTTTATTAATGTTGTTTTTGCACTCATTTTTGGTAGTGATTGTGTTGAGGCACTCATACACGACATACCGGTGCTATTGTTGGCATCGATCCTAATCTGTTGAAACATTTATAATCTTAATTAATACCCACATTAGACTCGGGTCTCTAGTAGTGAAGGGCTCTCTCATTACAAGCGTATAAAATCATAATTTCATACATTTTATTATACACTATTAATACCACTATTTAATTATCAATCTATTTATACGGCAATACAATGAAAGCATACATTTAACACATATTTAATCATAATTTTAAAATATAATTGAATTTGTAATCAAATTGTATGTGAATTGAAGGCACAGATTACGGGCAAAACTCGCTAGACTTTCAGCCAATCGGAACGTTACGGTCGAAACTGATCCGCAAAACGCAGTTAACGTACGGCAATTGGGAGGTCAGCGATAAGGAGGTCTGGTGTGACGAACCCAACGGACTCGTGTACTTCACGGGACTCCGAGAGTCGCCGCTCGAGCGGCACCTATACGTGATATCCGTGAATCATCCGAAACTGGCGCCCAAACGGCTCACCGCCGAAGACTTTTCGCACACAACTATTGCCTTTAACACGAGTTACAAGTATTTTGTCGACATTCAGTCCAACATAACGATACCGCCGTTCGGTTTCCTCCAGAAACTGGTGGCGCGAACGCCGGCCACGACTCTGCCGGACGCCGAGTCGGCGCGACTATTCCTGGGCTCGTCGGCCAATCCGGGCGAAGACAGCGACCAAATGGATTTGTTGCCGGGGATGAGCGCACCGCAGCTCTTCGACTATCGGCTCAAGTCGGGTGATATGATCTACGGATTCATATTCAAGCCCGAGTGCATGGAGGACGGCGTCCGCTACCCAGTGCTGCTCGAGATCTACGGCGGACCCGAAGTACAGTTAGTCAGCAAATCGTTCAAAGGTATAGCAATTTGTGTGTTAATAATCATTGTATTAATTGTTAATTACATTGTTTTATATTGTTTTTGATCCATAGCTGTCCGCCACTGTCGCCGCCATTTGTTGGCCTCCGAGGGCTATATAGTGGTGGCGTTGGACTCGCGCGGCTCCAAACACCGAGGTGTGCAGTTCGAGGCGCACTGTCGCCGCCGCTTGGGTCAGGTGGAGATCGCCGATCAGGTGGAAGCGCTGCAGTGGTTGGCCGAGAATACGGGTTTCATCGACATGACACGGGTGGCAGTGCACGGCTGGTCGTACGGCGGGTACCTCTCGCTCATGGCGTTGGCCCAGAGGCCCGATGTGTTCAAGTGCGCCATCGCCGGCGCGCCCGTCACCAACTGGCAGTTGTACGACACCGGCTATACCGAGCGCTATATGGACACACCGGCCAACAATCCCGACGGCTACCGACTCGGCAACGTTATGACACATATTAACTCGTTTCCCAATGAGTGAGTGCTTTGTTTTTTTAGGGGTGTTTACTATAACGAGTGTTGACTGTATTTTTTTGTTGTGCCATTTATAGGGAGAATCGTTTGTTGATAATCCACGGCCTGATGGACGAGAACGTGCACTTCGCCCACACCGTGCAGTTGGTCCACGCGCTGGTCAACGCCAACAAACCCTACCAATTAAATGTGTGTATTGTGTTGTGGTTTTTACCACGAGTTTATATCAAGTTATTTATTTATTGAATTAATGAATTGTCATTTTATAAATACCTAGATTTATCCGTTCGAGAGGCACAGCCTCCGGCACTCCCAGTGCTCCGAACACTACGAGACACTATTGCTATCGTTTCTACAAAACAATCTATAGTTTGTTATATTTGTAGTGAAAAAACCAAAAAACAGTTAATTTAATGACAATTTAAGAGTCGATTCAACACAAAAAAAACAGTTAATTTTAATAATGAGACCCAAACGCGCGATGAGATTACTTACTAGTGATGTGTGCGATGTCTTCTTCACCACACCATTCATTATCATCTACTCATACCTCGGGAGAGAAAGAGTTGTTTCGGTGGAACCGATCCGCTCTCCAGTCGTTACCGTTTTCATCCGTTACGGCCATACCATTGACTCGACTGCAGCGGTCGCCCACCGCTATGACCGCCGTCGTCGGCCAGACCATCACCTGTGGCTCAAGACATACAAACACCAGCCAATCACCACTGCTTAGTATTTGCCACTATTTTTGATTTGTTTCTCAACTCATCGCTTCATTTATGAGCTTTTTTGCGGACAACACTCCCTGTTTGTGACACCGATGGTCACCATCGGCTGCACACCCGCCCCCTCCCTATGCCTCACTCCTTATACCCCACACTAAATGTGGACTTAAAATGTGTTTATTTTTTTCTTGTTTTGTTTTTCGTTATATTTTATGGTCTCTTTTGGCCCGCAATTGACATACAGTTGTCTATCAATTGATTGATTTATGTTTTTAATTATTTGATTAATCAATTGAAAAGCAATACAACTGTTTATTATAACAACTTATTGTTTGTTTGTTTTGAATGTATTTTATATATGATTTAGTTATGGTTTGATATACTTTCGAAGTGACAACAACTACAGCAAAACTACTGTACTGTACACTACTGTACACTACTGTACACTAAACTGTACTTTCAATACAGATTATATGCTCATTACATTGAAACGAACCGGCTCATTATATTATTATTATATAAGTTATATATACAGTATATTATATTTAAGTATATTATATACATATTTAAGAAATTGATTTAATAATAAGTTATTTATTATTATTATTATTATAACTATTATATTTAAAAGTAAAATATGTTATTATTTGTTACGAGAATTAAAACTAATTTTATTTATAGTAATAATAAAAAACAAAATACAATTTCAAGTGAGAGAAAGGCTTTTAAAAATAACTCTTTAAGAAATTCTTTGGATATTTTTCGCTCACTTTTTTAAATATGATTTTATTTGTATAGATATTATATATAATGTAATTAAAAATGTAAATTTACTATAAAATTGTGTCATTTATTATTACATCCAATGATAATCAGCGATAGACTCACAGACAGCACATCACTGGAGATATTTGTGTTTAATGAGTAGTTATTTGGTTTTAATTGTGCTTAAAATGTGGTTTAAATCAATGGTTTGTGACGTTTTTTAATTTTTAAAATATTCAAACTCTCTCTCTCTCTCTCTCTCTCTCTCTCCCTCATCACTTGTTTTTTTTTTGGATAAAAACTTTATTACTATTTCATATG